ATGGAGAGGCCTTGGAGGATCCCCCCCAGGGGCCAGGGCTTAGTGGCAGCGGGTGAGTGAGTGTGCTGAGGCTGTGGAGGCGGGCAAGGGGGTTGGGCAGAAGAAGGCAGCTCAGGCTTCTTGTGATACCCCCACCACCACCACCAGGTTTAGCCGAGTGAGGATGAAAACGCCCACAGTGCGTGGAGCTCTTAACCTGGATGATCCTGGGGAGGAAAGCCTGAGGTGAGTGGCCAGTGCCTTTTCCCTGGAAGCTCTGGGATCTCTGTCCCTTCTCTCTTCTGACAGGTCTCTCCTCATAGGCCCCTCCAGGACCAGTCCCCTCTGCTGCCACTTCCAGAAGATGGTCCTCCCCAGGCTTCTGATGGTCCCCCTGACCTGCTGCTTGAATCCCAGTGGCACCACTACTCAGGTAGGAACTGGCCTTTTCCTCTCACTACCTTCTTGTGCTTGCTCAGCTGAGTGACCGATAGATACAGTGGAGAATTGATACACTTCAAAAAGCACTTAATGTACCCTGACCGAGTAGTTCAGTTAGAGTGTTGTCCCAATGCACCACGGTTGCAGGTTCAATCCCTGGTCAGGGTACCATACAAGAAGCAACCAGTGAATGCATAAATAAGGGGAATAACAAATCGGTGATTGTCTCTCTCCCCCTTCCTTTCTCTCTCTAAAATCAATGAAAATTTTTTAAAAATAACTAAAAAACAGAAAACAACTACTAGGTATTACACATCGCACGCCCACCCGGGAACAGGCCTGAGACTGGGCATTAAAACTAGAGAGATGCCCTCAGGGAGCTCATGGCCTGTGACAGAATCAGAGATACGAAGTTTCAGCTTGCTGTGAGAGGGCATCTGGAAGTGCCTTGTCCAGAATGCCCAAGAGTCCCAGAGAGGGCCTCAGAGCCTAATCTGCCAGGGTCAGAGGGTTAGGTACCTAGTACAACCAAAGATGAAGTTCTGGGGATTATCCAGAGAGGATGGATCCCACCTAGGACCCAGAGGAGGGGTAGGAACAAGTAGGGAGATCAGAGGAGAGTGGTATCCCAGAGGCCCAGGAAAGGAAGTAGTCAGCAATCCCAAATACCACAGAGGACTCTATACAGGGTCTAGGATTGGTGTGTACCGTGTGGGCCAGTGGGACGAGGTAGGGAGGATGTTGTGTCAGAGCTTAGAATCAAAAGACAGTAGTTGATGAAGTCAAAACAACACCCAGGCACTTTGCTAAAAAGTTCAGCTAAGAGTCTGGGGGAGGAGGGTGGGCCAGTAGATAGAAGGGTTTCATATGAGGGCTGAGACAGCAAAGCCAAAGATGGGGCAAAGGAGGTGAAAGGAGGCATGGTGATTGGGTTGAATAGGAGACCCCTGAGGTAGAAGAAAAGTGAGGTTAGATGTACCTAAAGTACACAGGATGAGGGCACTTGGAATCATTTGGCTGACCATCTCAGTGAAGCTGGAAGAGAAATACTGTGTTGGTCAGGGATGGCAGAGACAGGGAGGGCTGCAGCCAAGTAAGCTAGTAATCAAGCAGCCTGAGTTTTGGAATTTCTGGTGGCCCCAGTCCTGTCCTAAGGATTCTCTCATGATGTAGATCACAGCTGCTAAGCATGAAGTGGAGTGAGGTACACTGGTACTGCTTAACTGAAAGACTGCTTATGGGGTCAGAGAGCGCATGAGGATATGACAGTGACCGTGACAGGCAGGTTCCTGACTGCCCTTAGGGAGCATACCTCATTTTGGTAGAGGAAACATATGTGTACAGGAGGTAATGCACTGCAGCCTAGAATGAGTACTGAGAAAGAAGGCAGAAAGAAAATCTTGTTCAGGGAACCGAATGGAGGTGAGAATGGGAGAGGGCTAAGAAGAGGTGGAAGAAATCAGAGGTGGAAGAAGTCAGAGGTGGACCCAGGGCACTTGAGGCCTAGAGAAGATGTGGGTCACACAGCAAGAGTCAGGTTTAGAATCTGTCTTCGAAGTGGGAAGGCATGTGGGCAGAGTGGCCCAGAGAAGTGATGTAGGGAGAAAGAGTGACCATGTGAGTCTTGCCTCTCTTAAAAGTGTGCTCCACTCAAACTTACATTACCTCCACTTCACCCAGATACAGTGATTAGTCCTCAGCCCGCAAACTGATGCGCTGACAGCATTTGATGTGCTGATCCCTCCCTCTTTGAAGCACTTTCTTTCCTGGCTTCCAGAACACTATCCCTCTCCTCACCTCTCTGGTTGTGCCTCCTCATTGCCCCAACCTGTCAACTTCAGCATATCCAGGCTGCTCTTGTCTAATTTCATGGTCCTAAATCCCATTTCTAATTCTGATAGCCCCCATGTTGCCAGCCACACTCCTTTATCCTGGTGCCTGCTTACCATCTCCACCAGCAAGTTGCCAGGGAGGATTTTCTAAGAGGACTCTCAAATTCAGGATGTTCCAAACTGAGCTCTCAACCTTTACAACAAACTTGTTTCTCCCTAATCCTCTTTATCTTTGTAAGTAATAGTTTTAACCCTCTAGTTGTTCAGGCACCAAACCTCAAGAGTTTTCCTTGAAACCTCCCTCTCTTTCTCTCACATTACATCTCCTACATCGGTATATCCTGTCTGCTCTATCTTTAAAATCTTTAGCTGCTGAAAAATCCCTTAAATAGCTCATAATATACAAGTATATTTGTACTATTTATGTGAGACAGCAGAATGAGGGGTGGATGTTTATGATAGATTGGGTTTGAATAAGCCATAGTGTGTCCTGTAGGGTCTAAACACTAGAAGTCCTACAGAAAGGGACTGCAGACCCTTTAGAAAAAATTAAGTTTGGTCTGTAGGGTTCACTGGGCATATAGAGCAGGGGCCTAGACCCAGAGTCTGCTTGTGCCCAGGGAGGGAGGGAGGGCAGAGAACTGGGAGGTTTTGACTGCAGGAGGCGTGATCCTTACCTACTTTGACCTGCTCCCTGGGGCCAGGTGAGGCTTCAAGCTCTGAGGAAGAGCCTCCATCCCCAGAGGATAAAGAGAACCAGGCCCCTAAACGGGCTGGCCCGCATCTGCGCTTCGAGATCAGCAGCGAGGATGGGTTCAGCGTGGAGGCAGAGAGCTTGGAGGGTGAGTCAGGAGTGGTGGTGACAGGGAGGGAAGATATCTCATAGAATACCATCCTGAGTCTGCTCTGGCCCTGCCATTTCCTCAGGGGCGTGGAGGACTCTGATTGAGAAGGTGCAAGAAGCCCGAGGGCATGCCCGGCTCAGACATCTCTCCTTTAGTGGTAAGTGGGGGGTCCACAGGGACATTGGGGTCTGGGATGACTTCCTGAGGGCAAGATGGGCCTCTGAAGTGACTTGTGCGTCCTTACCTTTGACTCCTCAGGAATGAGTGGGGCAAGGCTCCTAGGCATCCACCATGACGCTGTCATCTTCCTGGCAGAGCAGCTGCCTGGGGCCCAGCGTTGCCAGCACTATAAGTTCCGCTACCACCAGCAGGGAGAGGGCCAGGAAGAGCCACCCCTGAATCCTCATGGGGCAGCCAGAGCCGAGGTGTATCTTCGGTGAGAGGTCTGGGGTGTGATGCCTGTGTCGGGGAACCCTATGGGCAGACTCTAGGGTGGGAATTAAGTCTGTACAGATTGGAAACTGAGGCCTGAGAGAAGACACTAAGCCATTCCAGGAATTGTTACTAGAGTTCATATCAGAAAAATGAACCTCATTCATTCCCCTCTTGCTGTGTCTTTAATAGTAGTATTCTTCCATCTCTGCCAGTGGCAGGGCCCAGGCCAAGAAGAGGGGGGTAGCGTCTCAAAAGTAATGGCTATGAACCTCCCTCCTTTTTTCCCCTTCTTCCTGCAGGAAGTGCACCTTTGATATGTTCAACTTCCTGGCCTCCCAGCACAGGGTGCTCCCTGAGGGAGCAACCTGTGATGAGGAGGAGGATGAGGTGCAGCTCAGGTCAACTAGGTATGGAGGGCAGGCCAGCGTGCTGGGGTGGTCTGGAAGGGTCCTAAAGAGGGTGACCAGAGGCAGGAGAGGCCATTCCTGGGTACCAGCCTGTGTCACACTGCTATCCCCCACCAGACGCGCCACCAGCCTGGAGCTGCCCATGGCCATGCGTTTTCGCCACCTCAAGAAGACATCCAAAGAGGCTGTGGGTGTCTACAGGTTAGTGGGGTTGGGGGGGAGGATGCCCCTTGGGTGGATGACAGGTGTTCTGGTGTGGGCCTGCCTTGGTTCTGTTCCCCTTCCCCCCCTGAGCTTCCCTTGCCCATCCTACCCTGCAGATCTGCAATCCATGGGCGGGGCCTGTTCTGTAAGCGCAACATTGATGCTGGCGAGATGGTCATTGAATACTCTGGTATTGTCATTCGCTCCGTGCTGACTGACAAGCGGGAGAAGTTCTACGATGGGAAGGTGGGCTCTGCCAGATCATGAGAGTGAGGTGGGTGAAGTAGGGCCTACCCACAGGAACAGGGCGCCTGACTGCCCCCCCCCCGCCCTTGTCCCTGTAGGGTATTGGGTGCTACATGTTCCGCATGGATGACTTTGATGTGGTGGATGCCACAATGCATGGCAATGCTGCCCGCTTCATCAACCACTCTTGTGAGCCCAACTGCTTCTCTCGAGTCATCCACGTGGAGGGCCAGAAGCATATCGTCATCTTTGCCCTGCGCCGCATCCTGCGTGGTGAAGAGCTCACCTATGACTACAAGTTCCCCATTGAGGATGCCAGCAACAAGCTGCCCTGCAACTGTGGCGCCAAGCGCTGCCGTCGATTCCTTAACTGAAGCGGTGGCTGTCCACACACAACCACCCTCCCCCACCCCTGCTGCCATCTTGCCCCCGTTTGGGAGGATTCCCTAGTCCCTCCCAGAGCATCTCACCCCCACCCTCATGTTCAGGGTGGATGTGGGCATGCAGGTGTCAAGGGCCCTGTCCCACACCCCGCCAGCCCACACAGCAATTGCTCCCTTCCTGCCCTGGGGGCCCAGGATGTAGATATTGTACAAAGGTTTCTAAATCCCTTCTTTTCTATGCACTTTTTTATTTAAGAGGGTGGGCTCCCAGGTGGGAACCCCCCACAATAAAGTCTGTCAATGTTTGGAGAGGTGGTCTTCTGGTTTGTATGGTGCTGGGTGCAGGTAGGAATTCCCATTTTTCCATACCCCACATCTGTTTTGAGCCAAGGAAGCCATCAGCCTAACAGGTAGGTGAGAACTGTTGTTGAGGATTAGAATTAAGTTGTGGCCTCTGTCAAGACGTCAGAGCAACAAATGTTCTGCATACTGTAAGTTAGAATCCAGCTGGGTCTCTGGATGAGCTGTCCCAGGGGTAGCAGGAATATTTCTCAAGAAGGGACCCTGGTTCCCCAGAGGCACCTTAGGCCAGCTTTCCCACATCTGGTCTTGTGTGTATGACAGATGGGCCCTCCTCTTCTGAGGGGGTTGGGGAATGAGGACGTCTGTTGTGTCTTGTCCCAAATAGGACTGTTTCATGAGAGCTCCTTCATGAGTCTGGTAGGCAGCAGGCACTTCAAGGGAAACTTGATTACTAGGCCAGGCAAGCCCCAGATCAGCCAAGCTTTAATAGCACCTGCAGTGCATCTGCCCGCCCTAGCTGGGCCAGGTGTGTGCCAAGCTGGCCCAGAGAAGCAGAGGGCTCCCTTGCCACTACCATCTCAATCAGTGCTCGCAGAGGTGAGCGACTGGGTCTCAGTGAATAGGCAAATGTGGACCAGGCAGCAGGCAGTCCGTATCTTGCAGCCAGGTGTCGAGTGGTACCACAGGCCAGTGCCCCACCTGGCCCAGGCTCAGGGTCCAGCAGCACAATCAGTTCCTCCAGCACTTCCAGCTCATCCAGGAGGCGAGACAGGGGCTGTGATGCGAGATTTGGCAGCTCTGGGAGACAGAAGGAGGCATGAGAGGGAGAAAGGGTGGGCTTTCAGTCCCATCTTCCCCTTGACCAAGACTAACCCCCTGCCCAGGAATGAGAGGAAACACCTTCCTTGAGTCAGTCACCTGCCTCTGATGGCTCCTGAGAATGTGGAGAGGTGCTGGGATCACTGCAAGGATAAGGATGGATGGCTTTCCCATGGCGATAGGGGCTATGCTTTTGCTGAGTGAACCAGAGGATGGCCGCTGAGGTCACAAGCAGAACCAGCACCAGGGGCAGAGCAACAGTTAGCAAGGCCTGCCAAGGGACAGTGTGCTCAGATGTCCACAAGGGGCTGGAAGTCGCCGGTGAGCTGGGTTCCCGGGAGCTTAGGACGCTGGATATTTCAGGCTTCAGGGGACAGGGCTCTTTGGTAGGAACAGGCTTCTGGAAATAAGGGGTTGGAGTGAAGCAGGAGGCACACCCCGCTCCTGCCTCTTCAGCCCAAACCTTCCTTATAAACCTCCACAAAGGCCACATCCCCGCCTGACCCAGCCGCTGCACTGCTTTAACCCTAATTAGTCACCCCCAGATAATGTGTCCCCACTCCATCCTCTTCGGCAGGGCTACACCACTTTCTTTGATCCAGACCCCGCCCATCCGGCCTGAAACCGCGCCCCCAGGCCCTGCCCGCCCCACCTCCCGTAGGCTACACCCTTGCCCAAGAGGTCCAGAGGCCGACAAGCACCTCTCTGCAGCGCCGCTGGGTTCCCGCAGGAGTGGGGGCCTTAGCTCCTCCGCCACAGGGGCTACAAAGCTCCGCGCTGTCAGGATTGCACTGCCCACGAGGACACTTTTTGAAGGGGTGCGTTACGTGATCACCAAAGTCATTGAGCCCGCAGTTTTCTGAAAACTCGTAGTCTAGAAGGAACAAGGTCTCTTAGGGGGCTTCCAAGACCCTCCTCTTCTGCAAGGTCCTTTCTCTTTTGTCCTATCCCAGCAGGCCTCCGCCCCTTGTACTCTACCCACCTATCAGCGGAGTAGCCACCCCTCCATTCTCCCCTCTCCTCACACTCTGAGTCTCGAAACTTTTCTCCACAGGCCCCGCCGCCTTAATGCCCCTCCTGCTTCCACACCAAACTGCACCCAGGCTGGCAGGGACTTACCTGCATAGCTCACCCCTCCCTCACTGCCTGGACCACACCTAACAGGCTACAAAACTTTCAACAGTGGCCCTCACGTAACTTTTGCACTTGCTCAGCCGCCCATATCTGCCTTACTTAAGGCCCACCAGCTCTACCCTGAACCGAGGCCCCCAAACCTCCATCCTCCGGTTTCCTATCACCCCCTCGCTCAGCACAAATACAAATACATGCATATATATGCATAGGTATACACCCAGTTCCTGCTCCTCACCCGGGCATGGTGGTGGACCAAAGCGCTGCAGACAGCTGCCACAGCACCGGTTGTCGGGGTTCCAGTACTCGAGGCGGCCACAGTGCTGGGAGGTTTCCTGCAGCACCGCCTGGGCCAAGAGCAGTGCCGCACACAAGAGGCGGTGTTGGGGCCCCATCCGGGCGGGGCCTGCAGCCAGAGGACCTGCAAATGCGACAGCACCTTTGACACTTTTCCAGGAAACCAGGGAGGAGACAGATGTGAGGACATAGGACCCCCAGGCTCCTGCAGAGCCAGATTCTACCCCCAGCCCCCAGTCCTTCTCCTGCCCATCATCAGAGGGCACAAGGTCTCACGATTGCTAGAGCAATAGCTCTGAAGTCAGACCATGTGGCTACATATCCCACCTCTGCCATGTTCCATCCACAGAGTAGGCTAATACCACCTGTCTCATAGAGTTATTATAAAGAATTGAAACCCTTATTAGAATCAACTATAATTAAAAAATAAAAAAAGATTTTTAAAAAGCTCTTAGGCCCCGGTTGGTGTGGCTCAGTGGACTGAGTGCCGGCCTGTGAAACGAAAGGTTGCCGGTTCAATTCTGAGTCAGGGCACATGCCTGGGTTACGGGCCACAGCCCCAGTTGGGAGCATGCAAGAGGCAACTGATCAGTCGATGTTTCTCTCCCTCTCTTTCTCCCTTCCCTTACCCTCTCTAAAAGTAAATATTAATTTTTTTTAAAAAAGTTCTTAGGACAGCACCTGGCATATTGTAAACTTAAGTATTAGGTATTACCAACTCCCATCCCAAGGAATCAGGATGGAAGACCCAGGTCTCATCCACTGGAGACTCCCATTCAACTCCAAGTGACCTTACCTTAGCTCCTAACCCCAATCTCCTCTGGGCTGGAAATCCTCCAACCTGTCACAACCAGGTGTCTTCCCTTTGAAAAGCCTCAGATGGATGTGCTGAAGTTTCTAGCACAAAGTTGCCCCCAACCCAACAGTCCCACTTGGGGATTTCTGGTCTGCTGAAGCTTCTCAGCTAGTTGTGGCTAGACACCCGCCCACTTCCCCTTTTCAGCAGATACGAGGAAGGAAACTCCAGCCCACAGCTAGGCTCAAGCTCTAAATCCTCAATACAGAACTTTAAGGCAGGGGTGGTAGACCCCAGAGGCTGGGAAAGACGGCGCTAGGGAGTTAAGGGAGCTTTGAGGATGGGTCCTGGCTAGGAACATCTGTGCCTGTCAGGGATGGAGGACAAGAAGGCCAGGATCTCAGAAGTGGCCATGCCAGTAGTCTGAGGAATCACTGGTTTCTTTCTTGGGGATGGTGGTGGGTATGGGACCTCAGGGGGTGACCTGGGAAAAGAAGTGGGGAGAGGAGGATTAGAGGTGTGGAGCAGAGCAGGTGATGAAGTAACTAGATGTGGTCTCAGGATAGGTGCTCAGTGGCTGATTTCAGGATTGGAGATCCATACTGGTCTTGAGTTTGGGGTTCAGGATGGATTGGGGGTTGGGACTTAGGTGCTGGTTTTGGAATGGGGCTCAGTGCTAGCGTTAGGATATCAAAGGCTTGAGACATTGTTTTGGGGGGATAGGATCAGGTTCATTCCAGGGTATAGGAGCCTTAGGGTTTGAGAAGTCTTGATACCTTCCCCTAGGTTCCCGCCCACAGAGCTGCTGGCAGAGGTTCCAGGAGATGGGTTGCAGGTGTATGAAGCTTCAGAAGCCACCGCGGTACATTCTCTGGGTTGAGGATAGATGGATGGATGGATGGATGGAGGATGGAGGACTACATTATGAATGACAGCCCCAACACACACACAGAAGCCTGGAACGCCAGGTGCCCATCCCACCCCTGTACTGCCATACTCCATCTCATACTACTGACAGCATGACTCCCAGAAGTCAGTGACAGGAGACAGTTCAGCATGCACAACCTACCCATTGAACCAGCAGTTACTGAGTTCAGCTACTGTCTGCTCAGCGTCCTCTTCACATGAAAACTGATTGGGAAGCTGGTCAGGGTCAGCAGTTAAACTCCAAAATCTTCAGGGGATTAGTTAGCAGCTCCCAGGCGGGTTGGATTTAGTGATAGACCTCAAGCTATGAGGCTTCAGTGGTGGCCTTTAGGCATTGAAATGCTTCCACCTCTGGGTTCTAATGGGGGGAAAACAGGCACCTTCACACAGACATTGCCCACGAGATGGTCCCCCAAGTGTCTCACACATTCACCTCTTCAAACTCTCTGTACTTCCGCAGTTCTGTGAACACCTCCTGCCAAGACCAGGAGGTGTTTAGCTGAGCTCCTGGCCCACAAGAAACTCAAACCACTCCTGCCAGCCCTCACCTCAAAGAAGTTATAGTGTTCTCGCACCTCCATGTTGCTCACGTGACCTCGAGGAGAGGGAAGGGTGGAATCTGGGGGTGGTCTGCTGAGGGCTGTCCGCCCTTCCCCTAAAACTGGTCCCTCACTCACAGTATCACCCTTCCGCGGTTTGGGCGGTGTTCTGTGGATTCCGGTGCAGGCTGAGCAGCACTCTGTTCTGAATAAATTTAAGAGGGGCAGGGCCTGAGCAAAGAGGGGGGCTACATGCAAAGGGTTTGGGATACGACCTTGCACCACAGAAGAAGCCTAAGCATTGTGAATGCATCAGTGATGCTTGTCCGTAAGGAAACCAGAAGAGGGAGGACTGAGAAGTGGGAGACAATCCAGAGACGTAGTCTGTAGACTGAGGGGCGTGGCCAAGTTACTGGGAGTAGAGCCTGAAGCTTGGGGGTGGAACTAGCACAGTTCGAGTAGAAAAAAGCCGGGCGGTAGGATGGGCCTAAGAAATCCGGAAAAGGCGGGACCTCACGGTGATGGACAGAAGGAGGGAAACAGTCGCGAGACGTTTACCCCGCAGGCTTCGGCCCTGAAAGTCGGCTTCTTGTGTAGCTTGCAGGCCCTGATCTAAAAAAGAGCAGGTAACCCCGGAAGAGGTGCAAAGACAGAGGTGAACCGAGGGCCAGGGAGGCCGGATACCCCAGAAACACCAGCCACGCTGCCCAGCATCCAGGCAACCAAGTGTGCCGTTCCCGGTCCGTAGATGGGCGATTGCCAGCGCCCGTTCTCTCTTGTCCTCAATTCAGGATATCGAAGTTAAATATTCGACCATTTTTGCCCGAACCCTACAATGCTCACTGCCTTTTCTCAAATCACTTCCGTTGCTTAAGAGCATTGGGAAATGTAGTTCTTCACTGCCCTCAGACACTAGCGCGCTTGCGTGTTGGAGCCCTGAGCGCTCTCCACGTACTCACCGACAGGAATTCCCTGAAAGCGCATGCGTGCAGCACTGCCTCTCAAAAAGACTACAAACTCCAGAGATACTTGCGGCGTCTCACTCAAACGTCCGTGGTTGAAAGTGGCAAAGGCGTTCAAGCCAGCGGAAGTAAACACCGCAGGTGAAATGGGGGTCTTTTGACGCATCCTGATAAATATAAAGAGCGTTTCAACGTGTTCAGCTTGCTGGTGGGGGCGTGGGTGCCCTACTTTTAGCAAACCCACCCTTCAGTTTATCTCTGTTTTGTCGTTAAAGGGGCGTGGATTTTCGCGATCCTTGAATCTCATAGTGTCAAGGCTCGGGTCTTGTCCCTCAGACCCTCGGGACGACCCGGTCCCAGCGCAACTATGAACTTGGAGCGGGTGTCCAACGAGGAGAAGTTGAACTTGTGCCGGAAGTACTACCTGGGTAAGGATCAGTCTCCCAGGACCCCAGGAGAAGAGAGAGGACGGGAATAGGGTCTCTGGGCCTGGATTCCTGGATCTAAGCTGGATGAAGCGGCTGAGGGCGCGGACTCCTGGGTCTGTGGGAAGGGCCTGGGTCCTGAGGGAGGAGGAATCTGGACCTCAACTTCTTGATCCCAAGAGAGGAGGGGATTTGGGGGCTGGACTCCTGGGTCCTGAGAAAGAGATGGCTGTGAATCAGATTCCTGCATCCCAGGGAGAAGCCCCGATACCTGAGTCCCTAATAGCAGAGATCTCAGTTTGAACTTGGGTGTGGGAGAGGACCTTGCAAATAAGTCCAATAGATGGGTGTTGGGGAGGATACTCATTGCCTTATGTCCCAGTTTGTTTTTTTCTCTGCAGGTGGGTTTGCTTTCCTGCCTTTTCTCTGGTTGGTCAACATCTTCTGGTTCTTCCGAGAGGCCTTCCTTGTCCCAGCATACACAGAGCAGAGCCAAATCAAAGGCTGTGAGTCCAGGACATGGTTGAAAGAATACCGTTGTAGGGAAGGGGTGTAGAGAAAACGTGGAGCTTTGGTGGAAGGGATTGATGGAAGTTGCAGAATTCTAGGGCTCTGTAGAAGAGAAGAGAAAGCTGGTGTGGGAGTGACCAGAGAGAGAGCATGTGAAGCCAACTTTACCCACTCCTGTTACCTCTTACAGATGTCTGGCGTTCAGCTGTGGGCTTCTTCTTCTGGGTAATTATACTCACCACCTGGATCACCATCTTCCAGATCTACCGGTCCCGTTGGGGCGCCCTTGGGGACTACCTCTCCTTCACCATACCCCTGGGTACCCCCTGACAACTTCTGCACAGGCCTGAGACCTGATCATTCTTCCAGGATGGGATCCTCCATTCTCAGCTCACGCTCAAGCCCCAAATACTTATTCCCATCTCCTATGTTCTTTGTTGACATCCTCCAATAAATAACTCTAATTCTCTGTGTTGACTACTGGGATCTTTTGGACATTGAAACAGAAAATGACTATTAATATTCAGGAACATTCATTGAATGCTTACTTTGTCCCACCCAAGCTTAGTGCTTCACACATTATGGGCTTTTTCTCACTACTACTAATAATCCTCTGAAACAGGAACTATTCCTGTGTCAGAAACTTATTTTACAGATGCGGAACCAAGAAAGGAATAATGTTTCTATTACTGGGGGCTGCTGTCCTGTACTGGTAGTATGTGAATTTGAAGACAGTGCTTTCCCATTTGACATCAGTATTCTCATCCAAAGTGTGGACCAGGTGCATATATAGTCAAGGCATATGTGGTCAATTGAAGTTTCACATTTTCTGAAGAAGATGTCTGCTTTATTAAAGAACATTTCCTTGACCATCCTATTTAAAATTTCAATCCTCACCTTGGTACTATGATCCGTCAGGTTGTATTCTTTCCCCTACTACATTTCATTTAAAATGTTTTACTTGTTTATAATTTATTTCCCATTCTCTAAAATATAAACTATTAGGGCAAATGTTTTTGTTTTGTATACTTCTTGTCTCTGGTACCTAGAAGATTGACTCGTAGACAAATATTTGCTGAGTGAATGAGGTTGTGCTTGAAAATAGATTGATAGGTAGCTGGCACATAACTCGTGCTAACAGTGAACGAAGCCTAACTCCAGGCTTGTCTTCCAGTTAGAGGCAAGAGGGACTCCCACTCTTAAATAAATCCTGTTAATACCTAAATAGGTGTTGTTCAAAGCTGCTAACACCACGTTCCAAAACACTTGCCGTTGCCTCAATCCTGTATCTCCCACCGTGCCTCGCGCGGCGCAGGCGCAGGCGCTGAGTCTCCGGAGCTAGAACTACACCTCCCAGAGAGCGCTCCCGGGTGTCGTTGGTTTGTTTCCTCAACTGCATTCCCTAGAAGGTGGGACTTAGGGCTAGGAGCCGACGGCGGTAGCTGTCAATTGGTCAGGGTACAAGATCGACAGTTGCGCTGACTAATAGGAACAAGTGGCTTCCGATGGGGCCGCGAGGGGAGATAGAGGTTGCTCAGGGCTGAGGACCTACAGCACACGAAGCTTGTCTTTGACCGCTCCCCCGTCTGCTTGTGGCCTTGACTTGTCCTAGGATTCTGGGGGCTCCTCTGACCCACCTAGCCAGACCCCAGACACAAACCATGTTCCCGGTGAAGGTGAAAGTGGAGAAATCAGGTGAGGACCCAGAGATCAGGACCCTGTGACGGAGCACGGAACTGATCAGGGTATGGGAGTCCCGATTGACAAGACTGTTGTGATGAGGCAGACAACGCGACTTCTCCCTGCAGCCCTTCTCACTATCGCTATGTCAGGCATCGAGCGATTCCTAGCCACCTGCATACCTTCCTGGTCTGTGCTCAAAATAGCTTTGAGATTTGTGGTGGCTCAAGCAGTGTGGTGCGGTGAGACGTGGGGATCTCGAACCATGTGACCGTGAGGACTCTTTTTCTTGGTTGTGCCCCAGTTTCTCCATTTCCAGCAGTGGTCATGAGTCAAGCATTGTACTGACTGCCTGAAGTACAGGGAAGTTTTTAATCTTCGCAGTCACTGTGTCTCAGTAATCCTAAAAGTCGGAAATACGGTAGATAGGGAAACCGAAGCTGAGAGACAGGAAGTCATTTTGGGTTGGGGCCGAGCTTATAGGAATCCAGGACTGGCATGTTAATGGCGGTGGGAGAGGCACAGAATCCAGACAAAATGTAATAGTAAAACGATGTAGGATGTTAGATGGTGTAAGTGGTAATAAAATAAAACAGACAGAGGGTGAGGATATCAGGAGTGAGGCTAGATGAGGGAGAGAGCCATGAGGATATGTGAGGGAACAGCAAATCAAACAGAGGAAATGGCTTTGAAAAAGCTCTGAGGTGGAAGGAAGCTTTGCTTGGCCTGTTCAAGGACCAGCACAGAGGCCAATGTGGCTGGAACAGAGTGAGTGAGGTAGAGGGCGTGATGAGATAGGGGAAGAGAGGGGAAGGGAGAGGAACAGTTCTTGTGGGCCAAAGTTAGGACATTGGCTATTGCTCTGAGGGAAATGGGGAGCCAAGGGCGGGTTTCGAATTGAGGAGTGCGTTAATAAAGATGCTCCTCACATGCCAAAAGAAATCGTGGGTGGAAAAATATAGGGGGCCTAACCACAATGATCATGTGGGGAGGGTTAGGAAGGGTCATGGAGGCCTGTGAACACCAGGCAAAAGAGCTCAGTGTCTGTCCTGGGGAGACTGCAGAGTTGCAGAGAGTTCTAAGGGGAGGATCAAGGGTCAGGATTGGTTTTAGGAAGATTTCCCTGGCCACCTTATAGAAGGTAGATCAGAAGGGGAGACTGAAGTTGGAAGCCCAGGAAAAGGAGGAAAAGGACCAGGATGGGCAGGTTAGAATTGAGATAGGTGGGAGAGAAACTCAGGGCCACATGGACAGGGGTTGGTGGGTTGGGATGGAGGCGGGAGAGAGGCGTCCATGTGAGGCCTAGGAATGGATTGGGGACTGTGGGGCTACCTCTTAAATGGGAGCTTGGGAAAGAGGGTAAGTTTAGAGAAACACTGAGGTTAGCGTGGGACCCAGTAGGTGGAAGGAACCTGGGCGATATCCAGGGGGAAGTGTCCAGGAGTTCATGGGATCCCAAGATCTGAAGTTCAGAACAGAAGTTGGGGTTAACGAAAGAGATGTGGGCATGACCCATACCATGGCTTCTGCCCAAAACTTTTCACTAGAATCCCAACGGCCCCCAACCCACATCCCTACCCTGTCTCTCTGAGCGATGTCAGGAATCTTTGCATCTCCTGGTCTCCTCAGGAAGTCCCGGGGCTGGCCAAAGCATATCCCCAAGTGTCCTTCCAGGCTCTGAGCACTGGGCCAGAGCACTTACTAGTTGGAAGAGGAGAGTGAACACCTCATAGGGTGAGAGGAGAATATTTATAACAATATTCCCTCCTTAATTTCTGTGATGAAGGGAGGCAAACACACAGGCTGACAGGGCCAGGCAGGGCCTGTGACATTCAGGAAGGTGGGCCCAGATATCATTTCCTGAAGAAGGGGGCAAAATGGGAATTCTGGATAAAATCTCTCAATTAAATGCCAGCTCATTCAAATTTAATTCTGATTTAAAATAATAACTGCCTCAGTCAAACAAAGCATACCTGCACCCACTTTGAGTTCCTGCCTTACAACTTCAGCTGTAGAGCCAGATGGCCTGGGTACAAATCCTTAGCCCTGCAACTTGCTAGCTGTGAAACTTTGTGCAACTACCTAACAGCTCTGTGTCTTGGCTTCATGATCTGTAAAATGAGGATACAAATCATATGTACCTGCCAGGGTCAATGTGAGAATTCAGTGGGTTAATATGTCTGATGTATTTGGAACAATGTTTGCCATATAATAAGCACTTTGTACATGTTACTTATTGCATTCTGCTAAGAGATTCATATACAATATAGGTTTACTTAAACCTCAGAACAGTCCTAGCAGATAGGTATCATTTGGAGACTCATTTTCTTAAGATTTTATTTATTTATTTTTAGAGAGAGGGGAAGGGAAGGAGAAAGACAGGAAGAGAAAAAAAAAAATCAATGTGTGGTTGCCTCTCATGCACCCCCTACTGGGGACCTGGCTTGCAACCCAGGTATGTGCCCTGACTGGGAATCAAACCAGCGACTCTTTGGTTTGGTTCGCAGGCCGGCACTCAATCCACTGAGGCACACCAGCCAGGGCTGGAGACCCATTTTTAAGATGAGGTAACAGGTTCAGTGAGGTAAGGTGACTTGCCTTAGGTGAGACAGCCCTGGAACCCAGAGCTCTTGCTCATTGCTTCAGTAGTCAGCCTACCTCACCTTCTCAGCACGCCTGGGCCTGGCCATAGGATTGGCTATGAATGCCCTTCCCAAGCCCAGTTGGCTGCCCACCAGCCTTGGGCCTGGGAACTAACTCCTGTTTGGTACCCTCTTCTCTAGAGTTGGAGATGGCTAAGGCCCGGAACCAACTGGATGCTGTTCTGCAGTGTCTCCTGGAGAAGAGTCACATGGACAGGTTGGGACCCGGGCCAGCTTGGGGTCATAGGAGGTTGGGAGCCCTGGCAGTTTGGGCCCTCTGATACCTGGGTGGACCTGGGTGGAACTTCAGAACCTGGCTTAGGGAAGAAGGGGCCTAATGGAGAGGCCACCCATTGCATTCCCACCCTGGTCCTTGGAACCCTGAGCCCACAGTTCTCTTCTGCTACCAGGGAGCGTCTGGATGAGGAAGCTGGGAAGACCCCCTCAGACACCCACAGCAAGTAAGTTTTGTTGATAGGATATGTATCTGAGAGTTTGTGGTGAATGACTTCCCTCATCCAAGCCCTGACCACTGTGCCCCCTCCACTACAGTCCTAACCACTCTGTGTGTACAAAGACCCTGTGGCAGCAGAAACTTAGATCCCCTCATAGTTGGCACCTAGAGCCCCAGGGGTGTGGGTGGGACACATGGCCTAAGGAGTTAGTGGGGTCCATGTGAGTGAGCATCCCAGGCTCGATCTCAGTATCCCCAGGGTGTCCTTTGGGGGGTTTTGAGCAAGCATTTGTTCAAGGGTCAGCCTGCTAATTCCCTGTCTGTCTCCACAGGGATTGCTCCATTGCGGCCACTGGCAAACGGTAAGGTAGCAGAGGTCCCAGCCAGGTGACAAGAGGTCCCCAGCCCTGGTTCTGATGTTCTCCCAACTCACACAGGCCATCTGCCCGCTTCCCTCACCAGCGGAGGAAGAAGAGGAGGGAGATGGATGATGGGCTGGCTGAAGGAGGGCCACAACGATCCAGTGAGTAGGTGGTGGCCCTAGAGGGTGATCAGTGATAGGGGGCTATGTGAGCATGTTCACATACCTCCTGCTCCTACCACTCTAGACACGTATGTGATTAAGCTGTTTGACCGGAGTGTGGACTTGGCTCAATTCAGTGAGAACACACCGCTGTACCCAATCTGCCGTGCCTGGATGCGCAACAGCCCCTCAGTGCGTGAGCGCGAACGCTCACCCAGCTCACCGCTGCCCCCACTGCCTGAGGATGAGGAGGTAGGATGGTGGTAGGCCCCTACCAGCAGCCAGGGTGCTAGTGGGTAGATGGTCACAAGCCAGTAGGATAGACTGGCATAGGTTTCTGTGTCCCTTAAATGTCTCCTGGATCCAGTAAGACATAGATATGAACCCATAGGCTAGGGGTATAGACGGAGCTCTCTAGAGCAGACAGACATAGCTATCTGGTCTAGGAGAAAGAAGGGACAGGGTTCCCCTGGGCAGATAAGTGTGACCTCCAAGGTGGGGATCCCCAATAGCTGGGAGGCCAGAGAAGGGTCCTTAGTGTAAATAGGGGTAGCCACTTGATCTAAAGGAGCAGATGGGAACCCCCTGGGCTTTGCAGGCATAGATGGGAGTCTCTGGACTGGTTGAGTAGGGGTCAGTGGGGGTCCCTGGGCTGGACAAGTGAAGACAGGGATTCCTGGGGCAGACCTGACCCCCCAAGCGGGGTAAGGTCCCCATACTTCAGACATGACTCCTAAGTACAGGTCCCTAGTGAGACACGTTTATTGTCACCGGGAAAGGCAGTAGGGGTAAAATGTGTATTCCCGGCTCCCTTCTCTGACTCTTTTGGGCCTGGTATGGGGCTTTTGTGTCCCCAGGGTTCAGAGGTCACCAACAGCAAGAGTTGTGATGTGTACAAGCTGCCTCCTCCTACAGCCCCCGGGCCACCTGGAGATGCCTGCAGATCCCGAATTCCATCCCCACTGCAGCCTGAGACCCACGGCACCCCTGATAATGAGGTGGGTCTGCAAGGCTTGCCTGGGCTTATGGGACATATGTTGTGGGGCTTGGGTATGGCCACCCACCCTAGCCTCTCTGTCCACACAGCCCTCTGAGCCTGAGCCCTCTCCCTCCACACTCATCTACCGCAACATGCAGCGCTGGAAACGCATCCGTCAGAGGTGAGCATCCCCGACCTGCTTGCCCCTCTGTGGCTTCTGCCTCCACTGCTGAGTCCTCCCTCTGCTTCCCCACCCCCCACTGCAGATGGAAGGAGGCATCTCATCGGAACCAGCTTCGTTACTCAGAAAGCATGAAGATCCTACGAGAGATGTATGAGCGACAGTGATATTCCCCTGCCCCCACCCCACCCCAATAAACATTTCCCTCTTCACATTGGCCTCAGATTGCTCCAGCCCATCCTTCCAGGCCCAGACACAAAGCAGTTGGCACAGCTCTAGCACATTTATTGGGGGAATGGGCCTAGGTAGGAGTGAGGGGGTGGGACAGCAGGGAATTCAAAGAGAGAGAAAGACTGTGGAGAATGAAAGAAAGTGGCAGCTGGGCTGAGTCTTAGAAGTAAGGAGAGGGGTCTGGAAGGTGGATTGCCTGTGGTTAAGTTGGAGATAGGGGTTAGGACATTGTGCAGAATCTGGGGAGAGGGGCACGGTAATCTGCACATTTTGAGCTTGAGGTTACTGGTTGGCCTAGAATAGGTGTCCAAGGGTGAGGCTCAGAAAAAGGATTCAAAAGTCTGAAGGCAACTGGCTGAGATTTCAAGTCAAAAGATGGGTTGGGGGCATTTAGGGGGTGACCGGGAGTGGAGTGTCTGATTGGAATTAGGGGAAGACCAGGCCTGAGTGTGGTGTGGGAAGTCTGTGCAATCTAGGATATTGCCCAGGGGTGGGTTATATTTAACTGGTTTAGGGTTGGGACAGAGCTATCTATATCACAATCTGGTGTCAGAGTGGAGATACCTTCCTAGAGGAGACAGGAGGAAATAGGAGGGAGTTTTGAGTGCATTAGTGGGGATGGGAGACTATATGCTGAGGGGTTGTACTTGTAGGGTCTGGAAGCTAGGGAGGTGTTGGGGTTTCAAAATGGAGCGCCTCTGAGCAGGAGTGCCAGTGGAAAAGGTCTAGGTTTTCAGGGCTGTCTAGGTTGGAAGGGTCTGGGCTGGATCCCAATTAGGGAGTGGAGGGATCTTGGCATACTTGGGATATCTGGCTGGGCGGAGTCAGGTCGGCTTTAAAAGAGGGGGCCAGAGGCAGCTCCCATGGTTCAGGCGTGCCCAGACCCCAAATTGGCAGCAACTGGTGGTGGCAGTGGGGCCTGAGCGGGTACAGGTGCGGCCTGGATGGACAGAACACCCTCAGGCGACAACGCTGATGTCACTGCGGCAGGGTCCACGCCAGGAGGCAAACGGTAGCGGCGGTGGAACTCCCGAGAAACGTAGCCATGTTCATCCTGGAAGGGGAGAAATTAGAGTAGCTCTACCCTTCCCTATCGCTGTCCTCCTCCCTTAGGTCAGAGGAAGCCACCCTGGGTTCTGTCTATGCCCCTCCATCTGCCGGCTCACCGGGCGCTCCTCATGGCGAGCGTGCACTTCCACATGTTCACCAACCACCTTGACGGAAATTTCCTCTGGTGAGAAGTGCTTCACGTCCAGCAGCACCGAGAAATGCCCGGGGTCAGTCGGCACCTGCGCACAGCCGACTGTCATCGGGCGGGGCTAGGTTCCCAGGAACCAGCAAGGCTCTCCCCGGTCGGTTCTAATGTTGCAGCTGACCCTGGCCTCCGAAACTGGAAGCCCGTTTCCTACTCGTGGCCACCGATGACCTCTTCATCCCGACTAATCTCATCCACCTCTCACCCAGAGTGATGAGGCTACCTTACCCTGCCAGATGAGAGACCTCTGCCCTCAGAGTGAGGCCCGCCGTACATGCCCCGGCGTCAGCGACCCCATTGTCAACGTGTCCTCCGGAACACCGACTTCCCAGCCCCTTTCCTCTCAAAGCCCCCAGGACCCTTACTGCCACAAACACCCTGCTCCTACCTCCAGAAATCGCCAGGATGCCTCCAGTCTCCAGAGTTCTGGTTCTAACCTCCCACTTGAGTCACGGGACCACTTTCGCCCTCAGCAGTGAATTGGTACTCCTCCCCCACTCTCAGATTGGCCAGGCCCCCCTTTCTCAAGTCACAAGACCCTTCCTCCTCTCTGCATCTCCAGGATACATAGAGCCACCCCATACAGTCTCCAAACTATCTTCCCCAAGAATAACAAAACATCCCCTCCCCGCAGGAATCACTGGGAAGCCCCCAAGCCCTTCAGAATGACTGGGCTCCCTTTCCCCGCCTTCCCCCGATTCCCTGGGTCTCCAGGCTTTTTCAAAGTCACCAAGACACCCTCCTCACCCTATAAGTCCCCTTAGAACTGAGACCCTCCTCAGGTAGACAGGCACCTCCGACCCGTTTCAGTAATCCGGCCTCAGAGATTCCATTCTTGGGGAACTCCGGAAGCCCCTTTGAGTGGCCGAACTCTTTACCCTGCTCAAAGTTAAGGGACATTTCCTGACCCCCAATTCCCAGTGTGACAGAACCCCGAGCCTTGGAAGTAGTCGGGTTACAGCCCTCCCCAGGCCTGGCACCTGGGCGGCAGGAAGCGCCACGCTGGGTGCGCGCAGGTAGTAGGGCGCCAGCGCAGCGGGGCAGAGCGCAGCGAGCTCGGCCTCCAGCAGCCCCTCGCCGAAGCGCTGGTCAAAGAGACGTCCGGTCGCCGAAAGCCCGGGCAGCGGGGCCGAGGCGCGGCGCAGCCAAGACGGCTGCACAGGCACCGGGATCTCCATCCTGCTCCTTCTCCGCCGCCGCCCTACGCTTCGTAGTGCTCCTGCGTGCGCCGCCGCTGCTTTATAGCACGATCTGTGTCCGCCCCTCGGCGGGCCGCCCGGGGACATTCGGACCACGGCCAGACCTAGACACTAACAGAGCCTTATTTAGAAAGCCAACAATGACTTGGCCATTTATTAAGCTCCTGCTGGATGCCAGAGAGGTATCAAGATTCTCCAATTTCCCGAAGGGGAAACTAAGGCTGAGAAGGCGGAGCCTTGCTGGAGTAGGGCGTACAGCGCGGCGTTTGAGACCCAGGGCCTGAGAAGCCCTCCGCAGAGTTCCCAGTCCCTTACTCCACCCCCTCCCCGCAGGCAGCTCTGGAGATGACGCAGATGGCAGTCTTAAGAGCAGAATCTTGGGTATAGGGAGCCAAACTGTCAGGAGGACACAGGACAGACCCTATTCCCATCTCAGCCCAGCCCCCCGGCAAGCCGGGCCTAATTCTGTGCCTCTGACTCAGCCTCTGATGCGCAGGGTAAACGCGTCTGCCAGGTGAGCAGCGGCCAGGGGGCGTGGGCAAGAACAGTCCAAGCTGGCCCCCCGGGGGCCGCGAGCCTGGCCCGAAATAGCTCGTTTTGATCCAGCCACTTGGCCAGGAGCCCAGGCTTGGCACTTGGCGCAACCAGCTGCTCCTACAGCAAGACAAAAGTAGTTAGGTGACCGTGCAGGACAGGCCTGCAGGTCCGACTGATGGAGGGCCATCCTTTAGAAAGGAGACAGTCTCTTTTATTGCCCCTGCAACGGGAAAAACGGATGTTGGAATGGAATCTGGACGAGATTCCCGCAGCAAGAGGGGACGTGGTTGGAAGCCAAGACTATAGGGAAACGAGTGTACTTTAGGACCCCTTCCTAACCTCGAGCCCAGTTTCACATACTTTCCATGGGCCCACAGGCTTGCCAATTACTGCTGCACACTGTGGTTCTCCAATCAAACACTCTCTCTCTCAGGCCAACACTACGGTCAGTTGTGAGACACCACCGCCCTTTGACCACATTCCATTACTTTTTTTTTTTTTTTTCCTTCTCTGTCATTGGTCGCCTTGAAGGCGGCCGTCTTCCCGCGGGGGCACTTCCTGGGGAGGGGCGGGGCTGATAGGGCATCGCTAAGCAACAGAAAAGCGCCGCCGCTGCTTTATCCTCCGAGTCAATCCCTTGAAGGAGAGGAGCAGGAGGCAATGCTGTGGTGGCTGCGAGATGAACTGCGGGAGAGGGCGATCTCTCTTCCGGGGACCAGGAGGCTTGGGGAAAACCAAGGGTGAGAGCAACACAGCTAGAGGCAAGTTTGCTGGGGTCTGGAGTCTCTCCTTTTCAATCGCATGGACCTACAACTCCCCAGCCGTGGATCCCATAGCGTCTTACGTTCTGCTCTCTTAATTGCCTGAAAGGAATTTTTTCTTCTAATGCTGTCCGGGGGCATCTTGGGAATTAGGTTTCTTAATGTTGAAAATTTCTCCAGATACCCATGGAGGGGTGTGTGTGTGTGTGTGTGTGTGTGTGTGTGCGCGCGCGCGCGCGCTTCTTTTGATTTTTCTTGCTTGGTCAAGCCTAGAGACTGATGGGGATTGTAGTCCATCTACCGTTTTCTCCTTCGTTTCCCAAAGACTTATGGGAAATGTACACTGATTGGGTTTAGCCGTGGTTCTTAGCTCAAGCTCCACTTCAAAATCGGGTGGGACACTGCGAAAAAGATAGGTGCCTAGCTCCTGCTACAGATAATTCTTATTCTTTTGGTCTGGGGTGAGGACCACATATCTACATTTTTAAAAGACAACTCCTAGGCTGTATCTAGTGTTGAGTACCACCAGTTAGCAGTTTCTGGGTTCTTCTCTCTTTCTTAAATTTTACTGATTATGCTATTACAGTTGTCCCGATTTTTCTGCCTTTGCCCCCTTCCACCCAGCACTCCCCACTCCCCCAGGCAATCCCCCCACCCTTGTTAATGTCCATGAGTCATGTGTGTAAGTTCTTTGGCTACTCCCTTTCCTATACTGTACTTTACTTTCCCATGGCTATTCTGTAACTACCTATTTGTACTTCTTAATCCCCTCACCTCTCATCCATTTTCCCACACCCACCCTCTCATCTCTACAGCTTTAACTTTTGGCATTTTAATGATGATGTGTCTTGGGATGGGCTTCTTTGCATCCATCTTGTTTGGGACTCTGTGTTTCCTGGACCTGCATGTCTATTTCCTTCATCAAATTAGGGAAGTTTTCTTTCATTATTTTTTCAAATAGCTTTCCAATTTCTTGCTCTTTCTCTACTCCTTCTAGCACCCCTATGTAGTGAATGTTGGATTGCTTAAAGTTGTCCCACAGGCTCTTTATACTGTCCTCATTTTTTTGGATTCTCTTTCCTTCTTGTTCTGAATGTTTTTTTGTTTTGTTTTGTTTTGTTTTGTTTTGCTGTTGTTTTGCTTCCTTATGTTCCAAATCACTGATGTGATTCTCAGCTTCATCCACTCTACTGTTGTTTCCCTGTAAATTGTTCTTTATTTCAATTATTGTATCCTTTATTTCTGACTGGATCTTTTTTATGCTGCTGAGGTCCTCACTAAGTTCCTTGAGCATCCTTATAACCCATGTTTTGAACTCTGCATTGGATAGGTTGCTTATCTTCATTTCATTTAGCTCTTTTTGGAGAGTTTGATCTGTTTTTTCATTTGGACCATGTTTCTTTGTCTCCTTCTTTTGGCAGCCTACATGTGTTTGTTTCTATGTGTTAGGTAGAGTTGCTTTGACTCTTTTGATATCATGGCCTAGTGTAGCAGGTGTCCTGTAGGGTCCAGTGGCTCAGCCTCCCCTATCACCCAAGTTAGGTACTTGAGGTTCATCCTTCGTGTGGGCTGAGTACACCCTCCTCTTGTAGTTGAACCTTGGTTGCTGTCGGCAGATCAGCGGGAGGGGTTTACCCAGGCCAGTTGGCTGCGAAGATTGGCTGTGACCACTTACTCTCCTCCCTCCGTGGAAGAGCAGCTGTGCAGGGGCAGAGTAGTGGTGCTCCCACGTGGTCTGTAGTTGTCCACTGGGTGTGCTGGCCCCTGGGGTTTCCCGCCTGGCACAGGCCAAGATAAGCCTGTGTTTTGCCCAGGGCCACCCTGCCTGAGCTATAAAGCAATCTGAGATGACAGCTACTTGTGCTGGGCTTGGAGATTTCCAGGATAAGCCAAGCTGTGAATGTACGCTGTTGGTTCTGGGCCTGGGGCTCACTGAGGACAGCTGCTGCTTGTTTGAGAATTTAGGAAGTTGTGAAGCCTGAGCCAAGACCATTCCTAGGGGTTGGGTGGGGTGGAGTCTCCCAGGCGAGTCAAACAGTGTTAGCCAGGTTGATGGAATCTTAGATAGGCACCTGTGTGCTGCTCTGTTGTGGGAGGGCCCAGAAAAGGGACAATGGCCCCTGCTCATCTTGGTGCCAGACACCTCAGCCTCCTCCTGCATGCCACTGGTGCCCTTCAAACCACCACCCAGCTGCAGGAAGCCAGAGGGAGTGAGTCTGAATAGGTGAGTCCGTGTACGGGTTTTTTAAGAGGAACTGCTTGGGGCTCTAGAAGTTTCTTCCACCAACTCAATCCCCATTGGTTTTTGCAGCCAGAAATTGTGGGGACTTATCTTCCTGGCACTGGAACCCTGGGCTGGGGGCTTGGTGTAGGCCTGGGACTCCTGGCTCCTGAGATTTCCCTAATTTTTATCCAGCCTGTTCCATGTCTGCGTCCCTCCTTTCAGTCTTGATGGATGTGGTTTCAGTCTGGATGGATGTGATTTCTTTAATTTTGTAGTTGTCAGGCTTCCATTCAACTCGATTCCTGTTGGTTCTGAGCAAAGGTTGTTTTATATTTTAGTTGTAATTTTGGTGTGGTTGTGCAAAGAGGCGAGCCAGTCTGCCCACTCCATTCTCTTGACTGGAAGTTCAGGGTTCTTCTCTTTTGAGACTCCACCCGGGGCTGGTGGAAATTATGCCCCAGTATCATTATCTTGAATAGACAAGGGGATTATAGCCCATCTCTTATAGGAATCCATGGGAATTATAGTCTGTTCTGCCCTCCTCTTCCTATCCTCTCACCCTCTACCCCCCTCCCAGCATGGTCCTCCCAGGCTGCAGTGACCATGCTCTGCCTACCAACCCCACTCTCCCCTTGCAGCCTGCCAGTTTCCACTCAAGACAGCCCCTTTGGGGATTCTCCCCTAAGCCGAAGCTACTGCTGGCCATTGAAGCCAGACCTGGCACCTCAAGGTGAGGACACCTCACAGGGTGCTGTGTGCCAGCCCAGTAACAAGGGAGTGGATGACGAGAGGGAAGACCCGTGATAAGACATGCAGGTGAGAGATAAAGAGACAATCCCTCCTCCCCTCCCCATGGCCCTGTCCTTTCCCAGTCTTCAACCACCATCACAACCTCATTTACTCTGAGTTGTTACCATTGTGAGATGTGTTTCCTCCCCTCTGGACTAAGACTTCATGTGTGTCTTTGTTTTCCTACAGGGATGTCCCCAGGCCTCACTTTTTCTTCTCCCCACCTCCCCTATTTTAGACCCTGAGCCCATCCAGGTCGCAAAGATCCAGAATCCCAGAAGTTCCCAAGGCTCTGGTCACAGGTCACAATTCCCCTGAGCTGTTTGAAAAGTCCTGGCCATCCAGCTCAGGGACCCCTTCCCCACCCAGCACCACTGAGGAACAGATGGGGACTTCCCCACCATCCCCCCTGACTGACAGTAGTGACTCCGTAGTGGCCAGGTAAGTGCCATCAACCCTGAAGGGCAAGAAAGATTGGGGGACTGGGCAGGCACCCTGTAATAATCACCACAGTTAACATTGTTTATGAAGCACTTTCAAGACGACATTTCATGTGTGTTAAGAGCTCTGGAACTAGGCTGCCTGGGTCCAAATCCCAGCTTTATCACTTACTCTCTGTATGAGCTTGGGCTCAGTTTTTTTTTGTCTGTAAATCGGGCATATGAATAACACATCCTCCAGGGCTGTTTAAGCTTTCAGTGAGTTACTGTCTGTAAAGCTTCTATAACAATGCCTGTCACATGCTGAGCATTTGGACTTGTAGGACACAAGTTCATCTGCTAAAACAAAGAGTGCCAAATTAATTGTGGCTTAAACAAGAGAGCATTTATTCCTCCCTCACCTAACAGTCCAGGCAGAAGGAACCAGGGCTGATATGGCTCTGGCACCTAGTTAAAGTGTCAGAGATACAGTTTCCTTCTATCTTGCTCTCCTCCCAACCCTTGGCTGTTGCCCTTTCCTTCATGGACCAAAATGGCCAACAACATCAATTTTTCAGAATCACATCTCCTTATACCCTGTTAGTCAAGAACCTAGTTACACGGCCATAAAGCTACAAGGGCACCTGGTAAATTTATCCTTGGAAGAGTGGCTAAGTGCCCAGTATTAGTCTCACATAATATTCCATTACTGTATAAGAAAAGAGAACAGATACTGAGGTACTACTACCAGGCATTGCCTTGGTGCTCAATAAGCATTGGCTTCTGTGACGACGACGACGACGACGACGACGACGATAATTTGGTTCTCCTCACCCCATCCACTGCCCATTCTCTGAGACCCACAGGTTCATAAACCGGTTCCGCCAGGCTCAGCCCACAAGCCGAGAGGAACGCCAGCCCGCAGGTCCAACCCCAGCTGACTTTTGGTGGCTGCAGCCTGAATCTCCAGACCCTAGCAGTAAACTTGCAACAGGTACCTGCTTCAGCCCCATCCACTGCTGGCCCAAAACCTTTCCTGTTCAATGCTCCCAGCAGCCATTCCTCCTGGCTCTCCTAAATCAATTGGGGCTTCTCAGCAGGAGCCAATAAACCAGAAGGAAGACTCAACACAGCAGTCCCGACTCTTGCCAAGGTGACCAGTGCATCACAGGCTAAGGCTATGGCCCCCCTTCAGGAAATAAAGCAGGTGATATCCACATCCACTCCTTCCACTATGTACCTGAACTAACAGCATCAGCCCTGGGATAGAATTAATCAACCTCCAATTCAAGGAAGCTTAAACAAACAAACAAAAAAGGATTTGTTTGCTACTGCAATAAAAAAAAATCCAAAAGTAGATGTTTTTCAGGCATGGCTGGATCCAGGTGTTTGAACACTATTGGGAGGAACATAACTATCTTGGCTCTGTTCTTTTTGGGCTCAGTCTCAGGCAGGCTTTCCCCTCAGTGTAGTTAAATGGCTCCAGTAGCCCTAGGCTTCTAACTTATTTAATCCACAAGAAAGAGGAGGCTTTTCCAATAGCTGAATGTTGTGATTAGCCAGGCCTGGTCAGGAAGGTAGGGTCAACCCTTCTACAGCAAGGACTGCACGGAGGGGTGTGGATCCACAGAGAAAACTTGGGTCACTTTTCTCTGAGGAGAAGGAGCAGACTCTACGCCAGCATGTGAGGGTGCCAGGTGGAGTGCAGATATGTACTCCAGGCCCTCTGTCTGGAGCCCTTTTCGGAACAGCCTTTGGGATGGGAGCTGGCCTCTGACCCTCTCACCTCACAGAGCCTCAGCACATGGAACGCATCCCTACTGGACCTGGAGATGCTGAGTCTGCAAAGCAGAGCTGCCAGGCTGCTGAAACACAGGTACTTCCCCCACCCCCATCATCCTCCCCACTCCTGCAGTTCTGGGCCTGGCCCACTGCCTCTGAGATCCCTGTTGCCTCACTTTTGCTTTCTTCCTACAGCAAGGCCTCTGTCTCCTCCTCCTCCCGAAGCCTCAGTGATGTCAACAATTCCTCCTTTCCCATCAGCTCTCTTGGCCTTTCTCCTTCCTCCATGACCTTCACCCCTGACTCCGGCAAGGGCTCTGATGCCAAGGCACATGGTGAGTTCTAGAGAGCAAGTGTTGAAGGCAGGTGGTGTGAATTCCAGCTCTGCCACTAAATAGCTATGTGATCTTGGGCCTCTCTGGGCCTTTCTTCTTTTCCCAACTTTAAAACAGGGATAATAATTGTACTACTTTGCTATGGGTGTTATGAAAATTAAATGAGTTGGGGAATATATGGAGTACTTAGCACCACTCTGTTAATAAGTAGCTTTCATTTGTATGACAGGTTCTCTGTATCCCATCTGCCTCTCTGAACACAGAGCTCCAAAGTCTGAACGCTTTTTGCAAATTTGACACCACACCTGATTTGACAGCAAAATATGACCTCAACAGGAAGGAAATTTATTATCTCATTTAGAGTGACTTCATACTTTTTGCTATGGATATATTACATTGAATCATATGAAATTTTTGCCTTTGTAAGGAAGAAATGTTTAAATATTGGCAATTGCATATTGTTCAACAATACACCAATGGGTCTGAGTCTGGTGTACTGCACCAGACCCCTGTCTACACTTTTCATACCATGCAACTTTGCTAAAATATGCTAACTGTTGAACTCTCAAATTTTTGTTCCCAAGATTTCAGAGATGAGATTAAGGACCTGGGTCACTATTACTGCCATCATTATTGTTATGTTTACTCTGTGCCCAGGTCCTGGGATACAGTGGAGCACAGGACAGGTGCTCTGTGTCTCATGGGACTCCCATGAATGGTAACAGGCTAGCACAAGTAAACAGAGAGATGTTCGTGCATGCTGTATGATCCAGCTAAAACATGTGCCTGTCTGATTCTTCCCTCTATCTAAGCATCACCTTTTCTTTCTGAGCCTCAGTTTTCTCATCTGGAAAATGAGGATAAAACTAGTACCTACTTCATGAGGGTTTTTTTTGCAGATTAAATTTATTCATTCATTCACCTAACAAACATTACTTTCCTATTGTGTATCAGGCCCTGTGAGCAGGATTAGAGATTCCACAGTGAACCAACAATGCATAGTCTAATCTTTGGGGTACTCACAGCATAATGAGTGTAGTGCAAAAGAGTAGCTACATTACCTCAAACAAATGTGAAATGTAAGCAGAATAAGGGCCATACAGGAGAGGATTATGATGTTGGGAAGTCAGAGAAGGCCTTCCCAGAAGAGATGCTATCTAAACGGAGACCTGAATGATAGTGGCGACAGGAGCCCTCTAGTACGTATAGAGAACCTGAGGTGGAAGGGAGCATGGTACAGACAATAAGCTAGAAAAGGCAAGAACCAGGGGTGAGAGTCGTGTTGGATAAGGATGGAGAGATTGACAAGGGTCAGATTACATTGAGTCAAGTAGGCTTGGGGAGGCAATTGGTCATTATCTTAGTACTGGGGAGCCAGGGGAGGATCTGAGTAGGGAGGATACATAATCTTCCTTGAGTGTTAACAAACTCCCCCTGGCTGTTATCCCCGAGACCCAGTGAGAGATGCTGGTCATTTGGCTTGGGCCAGAGCCTGAAGAGCAAAGTAGAGGAAATGTGGCCATGTTTGGAAGCAGATTCACAGGATTCTCTCTACACATCTTTTTGGGGGATATAGAGGGGAGGGCAGAAGAGAGAAGTCTGAGATGATGCCCCTCCCTCTCTGTGCATCATTGGATGGTAGGGCTTCTGAGAGGCAATGGTAGCCCTCGTAATCATCACTGTGGAGATGATGCTCTGGGTGATGGGATAGATGTCCTTTTGCCCCACTGGACTGAGGACAGCCAGTGGCCCTGCTGTGAGCCACTGTTGTATTGAGCCAGAACAGTGCCTGGCTCAATAGTAAGAGCTCAATAAACACTTATTAATGAAGGAAGAATTGAATGATGACAGGTTGAGAACTCCATGAGTCCTCTCTCTTCTGACTCTGACCCTTCCCCACTTCCCACTCCAGAGAGGAGTTGGGACATTAGGTGGAGAGCCTGACTGAATAACCTTCTGGTACAGTCGAAGGGTATGTGTGCAGGCTGTTATCGTGTTCCTGTCTTACCCTCTTCCCTTTACTTACCCCACAGCAACTCCTGCACCAGCCCCCATCCCTGCTCCAGCCCTGGTTTCCTCCCAGGCACCCCTGCAGCCAGAGGATGACATTCTGTACCAGTGGCGGCAGCGGCGGAAGCTTGAACAGGCTCAAGGAGGTCAGGGTGATGGAACCTGGGTGCTGCCAGGGACCTCTGCCCGTACCACTCCGGTGAGATGGGGAAGGGAGGCGCCTGAGGCGCTAAGGGGATCCTAAGGGAAGTTGGAGGAAGGAGAAGCCTGAATGGGCCTGAGGACACTACCCTTTCTCTCTTTCAGGTCCCTGTCTCCATCTGTCCACAGACCTTGCCTGCCCCTGCAGAGACTCTTGGTTCTCTGGGAACACAGTCTAACTGCATGCCACTTTGGGGCAGTGTGGCCCCACCTGGTCCCCACCAAGCCTTCTATGTGGAGAGACCTCCTATTCCCCCAGGGTTCTCTCCACACATCTTTTGGGGCCCCAGCCCCCATGGGTTTCTCTGGGCACCACAAACTGGTCCGTGGGTATCTTTCAGGGACTTGCCTGGGACCTCTACTCCTATGCCTCTTACCACCCACCAGGGTCTGCCCAACCCTGAGCCATGCAGTCCAGCCCAGCCAGAGAGGCAGGGCCCCAAGCCCCGAAGGGGTAGAACCCCGTGCCCAGAACCTGCTGGGCAGGTCACAGTGGCTGACCAGGGACCTGGTCCGCAACTCAGAGGCCCTCTCGGTCAGGTAGTGGCCGCTAGGCTATTTCCGGAAAGCCTGGGGGACACGCACTCTCCCCTCGAGGGCCTGCCTCCATCCCTAGCTGAATCTCCTAAAATCAAGGCTACACACCCTCAAACCAAGGTTAAACACTCTCTATCTGATTCAGGGTTTCCACAGGCAGAGATCCCGCCTGAACCTTCTAAGGCTGAGTTTCTGAATGCCAAGGTCACGCCCTCCGCAGGGGGGTTGGTGCTTTGCAAGGAGGTCAGGCAGGCTCAGACCAAGTTCTCGCCCCCTCCAGCTGAGGAGGCTTCTGCCAGAGTCAAGTCCCCGCCCCCTCTGATCGAGGCGGGGTCTTTAGAAGCTGTGGTCATGTCCTTGCCTGCTGCTGACCACACCCAGCCAGAGGATCTACTCTCCCAGGCTGCTGGGCTTCTGCAGGCTGCTGAAGGTGAGCCTGTGTGCAAGGCTGCTAGGATCTGGATGGCTATCCAGCACACTATGAGTACAGCCCCCTGGAGCTCGCTCTTATTTCCCCTAGACTCTGACAGCAGCGAGTTCCAGGAGGACCCTGTACTGCAGGTGCTAAGGGTTCAGAGGGCAGAGCTGCGGCGGCAAAAAAGGTGACCATCTCCAGGATTTATAACACTGGAACCCTGAATCTTCTGAGACCCCCATAGAGTGCCCACCTCTCTTGAACCCCTGTCCCAGAACTGTCCACAGCCTCAGACCCCAATCCTGAGCACGTACTCCCTGGTTTTTTTCCCAGGGAAGTGGACACACAATTATCCTTCCTGCTGGGCCACACTGAAGACCCAGGGTCTTGGTCTCCAGCTAGATCACCCCCCGGCACCCGGGTCCCCAAGGATGCTACTGAGGAGAGAAGGAGCCTCGCTTGAGTCCAGAAGGCTTTGGATTGTACAAATTCTGTTTTTCCCAATAAATTTTTTTTTCCAGTTTACTTGCGTCTAATAAAAGAGTTCTGGAAAGGGCGGGTCATGCTATTTTAGGAAATGTCTCCCTCTGTGCCCTACATCCATTTTGCCCCACCCCCACCCTAGTTTATGACCTGTGATACAGAATTTTCTCTGGTTTCATCCTCTTTGAGGGCAAGGCAGGGGAGGGGCTCCAGGCAAGATTAGGACTCACCCTAACTCAGAAATGTATCCTTTTATCTCAGATAAGAGAAGGAACTGCCCTCTGGGCATGAAGCTAATGGGGTTATCAGAGTATTGGACAATGGTTAGTCCTCAGTCTACATCCAGCTTAAGCCTACAGTAGCATTTGGTTCATTGATCCCTCTCTTGAAGCGTTCCCTTCCCCTGCTTCTAAAATCACCAGTCTGTCACTTTAGTGTGTCTCAGGGCTCTGGCCTTGATTTCTCTATCTACACTTACTCCCAGGTGCTGTTGTAGCCTAATGGATCTAAATCCTATCTGTCCTGATAGTCCCCAAATTTCTTTGTTGAGCCTAGACCTGGCCACTGAACCTCAGGCTCCTATATCCTGCTACCTACTCACCATCCTCATTCAGAGATCCACGAGATGTCTCAGACTGCACAGGTCTTAAGCTGAGTTCCCAATCTTCCCCCAAAACCTGCTCCTCCCAAGCTTTCCTCTACATCCTTCCTGCTTGGCCCAAAAACCTCATGGTCAATCTTGACTCCTCTTTTCCTCACACCCACAGTCAATTGACTGGGAAGTCCTGTCAGCACTACCTTTAAAATCTACCCAGAATTTAACCCCTTCTTCCCCTTCCACAGCCTTCACCCTAGTCTAGGTGATCATCACCTGTCTGGACTATTAAAAACCTATCGTTTTGTCAACAAGTTCTTTGAAATATTTCCTATGAAAAAGTAGAATCTAGGTTTCTTTTTCTTGAAACTGGATAGAACTTTGACTTTCATAAACAGAATGCAGAGGATATGATACTGCTTTAAATCTTTAAACTGTTTTAGAAAAGATGATACAATTTCTATCTAGTTTCCTTCTTGATATCTATTTATTTAAAAGATGGAATATATTTCTGTAAAAAAGTAGCTTCTGTTTGTCACAGGCATGGTAAATATTTGTTTTCAGCTTTTTTGAACAAACCATACATTTAAATTAAACCAACAAGAAGGAAACTAATAAGAAGAAATAAAAGATGTTTATAGTAGAAGAACCTGATCTTGTTGGAGGGTGAGTAGGGCCTAGAAGGATTCCTGAGAAAGTTACATTTAAACTGAGACAGGTAGGAATTAACTAGTTGACAAAGGGCAGATTCAGCCCAAGTTCTTACCCCTCCAGCTGAGGAGGCTTCCACAGGTGCCAAGTCCCTGCCCCCTCTGCTCAAGGTGGGGTCTCTAGAGGCTGCAGTCACATCCTTGCCTGCTGCTGACCAGCCCCCCAACCCCCCCCCCCGGAGGATCTACTCTCCCAGGCTGCTGGGATACAAACCACCCCCCAAAACTTAGTGGCATAAAACAATCTGGCACCAGGGCTCAGATGGTCAGCTGGAACTATTGACTCTAGTACACGACTTCCTTGTGGCTTGGGCTTCCTCGAAACATGACTGCCTCAGCAAAATCACATTTCTCACTTGATTTCTCAACAACTCTAGAGCTAAGTTGTTCCAGTGGACAAGGAGGAGACTGCATTGCCTCTTACTCCCTAGCCTTGAAAGTCACATGGTGTCCATTCCACTATTCTTTATTGGTTGAATTCTGCCCAGAATCAAAGGGGAGGTGACGTATACTCTACTTTTTTAATGAGATAAGTGTCAAAGAATTTGCATCCACCACAGAGGTTGAAGTGGGGGGAGAGGGATACTCCAGGTAGACAAAACATCACATAGGATGTATCTGTGATGGGAGTGAAGTTTGCAAGTTCAACACATTGAAATAAATAACTGTAAATTGACCCGTTCCCCAGCATTCTGTCTCCCCAATCTCTGCTTGGTTTTTATCCATAGAATTTATCACCTAATATTCTGTATTTTTAAATATTTATTTTGTTCATTGTTTTCTTCTCGCTTTTGAATTCTTTGTTGGCAGGATATATTTTCCCATTTTGGTTACTGATGTCTCCACAAATTATGTGTTTGGAGTTTTTGAGTGAATGAGTAGACTGATCAAGGATGTGCCTTCTGCCTTAGTGGGGCAACTAGGTTAGAGTGTCGTTCGGATGCACCAAGTTTTGAGGGTTCGATCCCCAGCAGGTGCATAAATAAGTGGAACAACAAACTGGTGTTTCTCTCCTCTTTTCCTCTCTCTAAAATCAATAAATAAAAAAATAAAAACAAGGATGTACCTTCTAAGACTAAGAGCCTTGTTGAGGGCACAACCAGTGGGAGTGTCCTCTTGAAAGGGGCACTGTTAGTGTTTTCTGAACCTGGCTAAGTCAGTGGCAGAACGATTGGGATTGGCTTTATGGGAGGTGTGGCTATGTTCTGGCGTTGCAGGCTAAACTTATTCCTAGGAAAAAGGAGATAAGGCTGGAGGCCAGCCTGTAATAAGCATTGGGGAAGGCAAGGAAAATATCCAGTGGATGGAGCTAAGTCTCAGAATGCCTAGGATTGTGTTCCGGTCAAGGCATCCGAGCCAATGGAAACTCCATGGGCGAATGTCCTCATGTGGACAGAGTTGGGGGCAGGACTCTTACAGTGGGGCTTAGAGGGTTGAGACCTTGAAAAACTGCTTGAGGGTGGAGAAAAGGCCTGAGCCTATGGGAATATCCAATTATGAGTGTCAGAGGAGCGGTCACTGAGTGGACTATGGGGTAAAGCTCATTGCTTAGCGTTAAAAGTGTTAGAAGCGAAGCTTAGCCCTGGCTGGTGTGGCTCAGTGAATTGAGTGCTGGCTTGCAAACCAAAAGGTCGCCAGGTCGATTCCCAGAGTACATGCCTGGGTGCGGGCCAGGTCCCCAGTCCCAGCTGGGGGCGTGAGAGAGGCAACCGCTCAACGTATCTCCCGCCCATCTCCCTCTAGCTCCCTTCCCGGCTCTCTGAAAATCATATAAAAAGAAGCAAAGGGGGCGTGTTGGGCGTGAATAACAGCCAATGAAAGCAATCTGGGCGTGGCGTGGCGCTGTCAAGCTTATCCGGGCAGGACCCACGCAGATGGGACTCAAGCCAAAGCCAATGAAAAGCCGCTATATGGGCCGGGGCCCCAGGCAGGGTGGAGCCAATGAGGAGCAGCGCCGCGTCCCTACAGTCCGGGCCTCCGCCACCGGCAGCAGTTAGGGGCGGAGCCTGCAGCTGCCGGCGCGCCCTCCCCTTTGTGTCGCCATGGCGGCGGCATCGGCGATGAGGACCACGATCGAGGGGTCTAGCGCGGCCAGCACCTGAGGAGGCCACGCGACCATGGTGGTGAGGGGCCTACGCGGCCATCAGTCGGTCCGCGTGGCAGTCTGTCCATGCACGGCCCCGCCCCGCGCGCCCCGCCCCCGGCCCCGCCCGAGCCCGAGGCCTGCGCCGCCCCTCACCCCTCGCGGACCCTCTTGTCCCCCAGCCTGGTCTTGGTCCCAAGCCCTTACCCTGCCCCGCCCTCTCCCGCCTTCTCAGCGTGCATCTGCTTCCATGCCCCGGATGGAGGTGACTGTGGCTGAAGGCTTAGACTTGGGAGGTGCTGGTCCCGGGAAGGACCCTGCATCCCCCAAGTGGCCCCCGCAGAGACCTGCTGAAGCTCCCTGGGTCCTCACCAGCCCTTATCCCAGAACCATCTTCATCGTCTTATCCCAACCTCCATCCCTTCCTGGCCTAGCCTTCTCCTGCTACCACCAGCCCCTTTCTCTTTCTCGAGCCCCACCCCCATTCAGCTTCACGTAAGCCTAACCCTTTTCTTTTCTTATCATTTTCACCCCATTCCAGTCCCTCTCAACCAACCCTCTTCTACTCCCATCAGCCAGCACCTTTACCTCAGCCTTTCCAGCTGCTCCCATTCTCCTTACTCCACCCCAACCCCAAGCCAGCACTGATCCTTGGTTCCTCTCCATCTTGTCCTCATTCTCCCTCCCCGCCCCCCACCTCCCTCTTCCACCATGCTGCTCCTGCTCATTCATCCATTTTATTTCTTCATTTGATTGCTTAAGAAACATTCACTGAGACCTCTGCAAGCCCATGCTCCAGGAACAAAGAGAGTCAGGTCCCATCCTTTGGGAATTTCATGGGTTGGTGGGGAACAGACCCAAGGGTGAGACCCAAAGAGAACTTGGGGTTGCAGGGATATGAAGGAAGGAGAAGCTAGAGCCCCATTTGGGGAGCCACATCTGGTAGCTGGTTAATTTATTCATCAGATTTTACCCTGCCCCCACTGGCAACTGGGCTGACACTTGGCATTGGGACCCAGCAAGGAGCCAGACACAACCCTAGGAGGAGTGTCAATTCCATGCCCACCTCTGCGCTGGACAATGCTGGGGAGCTGGGGGCTCAGTCCAGGCCCTGATCCTGGGGAGATCACAGTCCAGTGGGGAAGATGGACTTGTCACCAGGCAGTGACATCTCAGAGTGCTCAGGGCTATGATAGGGGAAGCCCAGGAAGAGTCATCAAGCCTGGGATGGGGGAACCTCAGGATGAAGGAGTCCAGAAGAGGTGATTGATATAGCTTGAGGGATCAGGGAGAACTTCTGAGAGGAGGAAGCATGAACGTTGAGACCTGAGGGATGAGGAAGAGTGAACCTAGTGAAAGAATAAGAGTGTTCCGTGCAGAGGGAACAAACTTTGCAAAGGCCTAGAAGGAAATGAGAAAGTGGTGCTTTTGTTGGACTCAGAAATTTGACAGCTCTAAGAATGGAGGCAATGGGGAAGAGATGAGGGTGGAGAGGTAAACAGACCAGAGAATTATCTTGGAGACAACAGGGATCCATTGAAGGTCTATGATCTGTAGAGAGACAGAGGTAGATTTGTATTGTGTGAAAATTATACTGTTGCTTGCTGTGAAGATGCTGGCAGGAGGGGAGAGGCTGAGAGCAG